ACTCCTGGAGCATTTCACTGCAGCAGCTCCCTGGGGGAAGGTGCAAGCAGAGATTTCTTGTGAATAAATCTGTCGTTGCTCTCCCTTTTTGTTTTGCTGATGTTTATTGCCTTCTGGATTTCCCTGCTCTCTCTGCATCCTTATTATTGCACCTGAGACTGCCACAATCCCACAGGATGGGCAGGTTCTGGGAGTAGAAGCCCCATTCCCAGACACAACCTCGTGCTCCAGGGAACTTTCTTTCAGTTCCCAGCAGTGTTATCTCATTTCTCTATGTAAAGCTGCTGTATAAACAGCAGCTCTCAGGGGGCCTGGGCCATGACAGTGAGATTGTCCCCACTGGATTTGTCAGCCAAGCAGCAGTGTCAGGTTCTCCAAGCTTTCCCAGAGAGGCAGCTCTGTGAGGAAGACTCTCCATAGATTCTCCACTCTCTGCCTCAGGGAGCTGTGGAGCAGCATCCTGCTGGAAAAGGCACTAAATTCTGTGTACCTGTCCTCATCGGCCCATTTGCTAATACTGTCCCCAAAACAGAGTGATTTGTCCTCAGAAGAGGGCAAATCCCATGCCTCAGGAGGAAACAGCAAAAACATTTTATAACCTCAGAGAAAAAAAAACCCACAGCTTTGGGCATGGAAGGGCTGTGAGAGGGAGCGGGAGCTCCCGTGTCCCTGAGGAGCTCTGCCAGCTCCATCCTCGGTGAGAGCTGTCTCAAACCAGGTATTTCTTCCTGGATGTCACATGGAAAGAGGCTGTCAGAGCTGTCTAAATGTGTGAACAACACTGTCAGCGGGGGAGAGAAAAGTGTTATCAGAAATAGTTGTTCTTCAAAGCTAAATAACTCCGTGATTTATAAGGAGTAGAAGATAAGAGATCACACTGCACGCTGAGGGCTGCTGGAATTTTCTTTCTGAGAATGAAAGCTGTTTGTTTTGGTAAAAAGCAAAAGAGGGGAGAAATGAAAACCTAAAATACTTTGACTTTCTTGACTTAGCTCTTGACAAAGCTAAAAATAACTGCACTGGCACCGAGCCCATGCAGCCATGTCCTGGGATCACTGAGCAGGGGAGGAGAGCTCCCAGCCCATAGTCCAGGAGTCATTTACCATTCCCAAGGTTTTCCAGCACCATCCATGAGGACAGAAGAATGCAGTGCAGTTTTGCTGTATGCAGACAGACCTGGGCCTGTTCTGATTGCCATCAATGGGATTTTAGGTGTTCTGTGGGATCCAGGTTTTACCCTGAAGAGAGGCTCAGTTTCTGCTGCTCTGAGTGAGAGCTTCTGTGGTTTTCAGCCAAACTTCTCCTTGTGCCAGGCCAGGCTCCTTCTGCCTGCCTAGCCCCACTACTGCTCCTCTGGTCTAGACCTTAAGGGAGTTTCAGGCACTTCTCTGGAATCTCATTTCAGATTTTGAAAACTCCTCACCTTAACAGCAACATCGAGGTCATCAAATAAAATAACATAAAACAGTCAGACATGAAGCTGATTGTAATTAGTGTGTTTTCCCATATGCTGGCTGACATTCTCCAGAGAGCAATTAGTCTGCTTTAAGAGTAAAAGACAACTGAATAATTATTTAACCTGCCTGGGATTGATTTTAAAATCCGAGAAGTCAGATATAATAATGGATTGCTTCATCAAAAAATATGTAAAATAAGTGATAAGGGTTGGAAGCCTTCAACAGCTTGTGTGAGGCATCTCCTACAAGGCTGACTCCCAGTCCTAGATCCCACTGCCCCAAAGGCCCCCCAAACATGGCATAAAAAGGTTTCCAGAGAAAAATATCTGAGCAAACAAAGCCAGCCTGAATTGATAAACTTCAGTGCTGCAGTGGGGAGACCTCGGGCTCTATTGACTGGTCAAGGAACAGCACACATAAATCAGGCAGCAAATCCTCTCATGAACCTCAGGAGGATGTCACAAAGCATGACAGACCTTGTCACGGACATCTTTTATCTCTCTACCAAGCCATGGGACAGGAAGAAAGAAGGAATGAGAAGCTGATTCCTGCACAGACAGGAAAGAATGGGAAAGGCCACGAGCCCCACAGAGCATCCAGTGATCTCCAGCATGGGAACTAGCTTCCAAAATAGGTTTAGACAGGGACAGCAACACTAAAGGAGCCCCATTTCTACTCTCTTGGGTGGGATTTGTCAATATGAGGCGTATAAAAGTGGAGACTTTTGCTGTGAGCTTTTCACACCCATTGACTCTCATCTCTGTGAAGCCAGGTGAGGTTTCTGCCCAAGGCCCGTGTGGGATCAGCTGGAGCTGCCCACAGCTGTCCAGCCCTCAGCAACAGATTTCCCAGCCCTGCTCCTTCATCTCTCCTGCTGAGGCTTGCAGGGCACCTCTGGGTTCCCCCAGCCCACCATCAGCCAGCTGATGTCACACCCCTCGTGCTCTCAGTGCCACGAGCTGAGCGTCTCCATTTTGCTCAAATGGAAGAACTGCAACAATTATTTTCATAATTAGCTGGCTTTGCAAATTAATGTCAGTTATGCTGTGTAATCATGATGAAGATTATGCATTAATCAGCTGTTTCAAGCCAGTTATTAGGCTCTTTAAATAAAGATGGGAGTGAACGTCTCTGAAGGAGCGGCGCGCAGCCAAGAGCGATGTGAGGATCCAGCGGGGTGTGCCGTGCACAGATCTGACATCAGGTGCTCCCAGTCTCACCAGTTTCTGAGCTGGGGCATGCTGTGGCTGCCCTCAGCACCTCAGGGAGATTCCCAATATCCCAGAGTATTCCTGGTGTGTTCCCAGCACTGGGAAACACACAGAAACACATCCCTGCTGCCTGTCAGCTCTCTCATCACCTGGCCCTGAGCTCAAGGTGCTGGGTGGCTGCACAGAAAATTCGTTCCTGCCAAAAAGCCTATTACCTCCAGCTGGATGTCTGGAATGGGAATTTATTTAGGATCAAGCACCAATAATCCAAATTCCCAGCCCTTCTGTATCCTCTCATAATAAGACATGCTCCAATGCAACTTTGAAAGCGCTGGGCTGGGAGAAAGCCTAATGCCAGCTAGTGGATAATCTATGTTACATTTACCAGTTATCACTTCAGGACGATGCTAGAAAACAAAAAATCCCTGGCTAAACAGTCTGGACAGGGAAGCTTTGAACAGAGATATGGGGTGAATCTCACACTCACTTTAGTTTTGTTTATTGCATTTGATTTAATATTGTAAATGAACTTTCTTCTGCCCTAAGAAACTTAAGTTGAGCTGCCAGCATATGCAAACTTTGATGTGGATGAATAATTTTCTTTGCACCAGTCAAAACCCAAATGTTTTGGCATAATCCAGTGAGAATGAGGCACGTGGACAATTCTGCTACATTCCTGCCTATGCTGCTCAGCGTTCTGGATTGAAAACCTGCCCATGAGTGAGTGGCTGAAAATCACGTGAGACTGAAATGACACTCCAGAATGAGCATTCAGCCTCTTTTTTCTTTATTCTTCTGCCTATTACCAAAATTAGCACTGAGTTCAGTGGTTTTTTTCCTAGCAGAGACATGCAGGAAACAGATCAAACTTATTTTATGTCTGTGAATGGAAATTAATTCCCACCCTCGTGCCTATTACCAAAATTAGCACTGAGTTCAGTGGTTTTTTTTTCTAGCAGAGACATGCAGGAAACAGAACAAACTTATTTTATGTCTATGAATGGAAATTAATTCCCACCCTCACTTAACAACTGGGGACAGGATGCACAAAGACTGCAGAGGGAGAGGAGGAAAGGGACTTGTCACAATCAAGGGGAGCAGAAAGTCAGAGGCCTTTTGCAAGTCCTTCTGCTTCCTTGCTGAGAACATCTCCAGCCATCACTCCTGTGCCTCACCCATGGCTCTGGTCACACTCCTGGGAGGACACCCAGAGCATGGCCATCAGCCAAGTTATCAGCTTGGCTCTGGCCAAAATGGAACTCCTGGCTAGCACCAAACTGCCACAAAACTATAGAAAATGTGCTCAGGCTGCTGGAGGAGGATTCATGGCATTGCCTGAAAGCCAGCAGGGCTGAGCAGACATCTGTTGTCTACAAGAAAACATTTGAGGACTATCTTAAATTGAAGAGGAAGGTTTTTTCCTTCTGCTAATGAACCCTGAGACCATCTGTTACCAATTGTACTTGCTTATTTCACTCATCCATTAATTATTTTGCTTTATTTTGAATAAGATAGAGCAAGGTTTGTGTCTATCTGTGGCTCTGTGAGGGGCTCAGGGTGGCTCCTGCATCTCGGAGACAAGGACAAATCATTACATAACCCATGCCTGCACCAAGTCACTCCAATTAGAGTGGCTGTCAGTGGGAACTGAGGACAAGACTCACAGACACAGAGCCAAGAAACCCAGCGATGCTGTGACATGAGCTTGTTGCCCTTGGGGAGGTGTAATGGCATTAACAACTTCTGAACACAGGAAAGCTGCATCCGAGATGTGCATTACTGAGCAGAGGAGCTGTAGGGTAGGCAAATCCAGAAGTCTCTGCTGGTCTGAATTAAAAACTTGGACAACTAAACATGAGGAACAATAGAAAAGGAGAAGGGGGCTGAAAATGGCACTGAAAATAGCCAGCAGCAGCACTGCCCTGCCTGTCTCCCGTGCAAGGACCAGATGGGTGATGAGGCAGGAGGATTTCAAGAGGAGGGCAGTGCCAGTTTTGTATCCAGTGACTCCCCAGAGCACAGACCGTGGGAAATAAGCCTGTCCACTTCCCATGGTCTGATCCTAAAGTTTTATGGGAAGCCACTTATCTAGCTCGTGAAAATATTCCAAGATTTTAAACCACCTCTTACTGCCCCACAAAGCTGCCACCCTGAACATTCTCATGGACCAGAATATATGAAAAACTCAAATCTTCACATCTTCATTTCAGGGCAGGACGGGTCCTCAAGCAAGCCCTGCTCCACTTGCAAACATTCCAAGAGTTTTCTCATCCCTGCTGCATGAGTTTGTGAAACAAGCTGTGGCTCAAGGGTGGATTTTTTTGTCTTGCAGGAGGAATCTTTGAGTACGCAGATGGCCCCAACACGCAGGTGATGAGTGCTGAGGAACAAGCCTTCAGATTCTCCGCCAACATCATTAACAGGAACAGAACTTTGCTGCCCAACACAACCCTGACCTATGACATCCAGAGGATACACTTCCATGACAGCTTTGAAGCAACTAAGAAAGGTAAGAGCAGAGCAAACTTCTGAGCAGCTTTGTGGCCATTTATTCAGCAGAAGAAAGGTCTGGTTTCCTGCCCAGCAGCTTGTTCTGTCCTGCTCTCACCAGTGATCTGGATGAGAGCTCCTGCTGGAGTCGACCTTCCAGCACATACATACAAGGGGAACAACTACCTTTTTTGCCTCTGAAACCTCAGAAAACTCCTTTCAGCATTTGCTCTAATCCTGAGCAAAGGTCTGGAGGCCATGCCTGTGTTTGTGCCGCTGCATCCCTGGCAGTGTTCACATCCATCGTGTGGATGTTCTGTTCTCTTAATAAGAGTCACTTTTGATTACTGGATAACAGCAGCACACTTGAATTGCTGAAGGGGAGGGACTGCACAGCAAAGGCTGCGAGCTGGTGACCTGAGGGCTCGTGGAGTTTGATTCTGGCTGGGGAGAAAGGAAACCTGCTGCCTGAGCTGGCAGCTATTGGAGGGACATCAGCAGGAGGGAGCCCTCTGCTCCCAGCCAGCCCAGTGCCCCCTGTCCCTTTTCAGATGGTTTTGTGGTGGAGACACCCTCAGAGGGGCTTGGCACTCCTCTGTGCCTCTACCCAGCCCCTTTTCATATGGTTTTGTGGAGGAGGCTCCCTCAGAGGAGCTTGGCACTCCTCTGCACCTCTACCCACCAGTCTATACCCACCTGGCATAAATCATTCTCCCTGTGCCCAACCACTGCTGCAATTACCCAATATCAGTGCTGGGTCAGTGCCCACAAGTGTCTGGGCTGTGCCCATGGCTGCCCCATGCTCAGCCCCCACCAGGCTTTCCTGACATCCCTTCCTTGCCCCTCCAGCCTGTGACCAGCTCGCTCTGGGGGTGGTTGCAATATTTGGACCTTCCCAAGGCTCGTGCACCAATGCTGTCCAGTCTATCTGCAACGCCCTGGAAGTGCCCCACATACAGCTCCGGTGGAAGCATCACCCTTTGGATAACAAGGACACTTTCTATGTCAACCTGTATCCTGACTATGCTTCCCTGAGCCACGCCATCCTGGACCTGGTGCAGTACCTGAAATGGAGGTCAGCCACCGTGGTGTACGACGACAGCACAGGTGGGTAAAGGAGGGGCTCAGAGAAGGACTCCTGGAGATTTTCTGTCCTGGGTCCCTTTGGGAGCTTTTCCAATGAACCCTCTCGAGAGCCAAATGATGCCCCGTGCAGTGATGGGTTCCCACAGTTCTAGACAGTGCTGTGGGAGGCCCTGGGAGCTTTCTAAGCATTTCATTCACAAAGCTCCAGCAATGGGGCTGTGAGCTGGCACAGGGTCATGGGGGGTTCATTGGCATGGGGTGACCATCTCAGCCTGGCTCTTTTGGCACTGTGGTGCCCCTCTACAACAGAAAAGCCCCTGTCCACAGCTGCCATGGAGGGAGCAGTTCCCAGCTAAAACCAAAAGCAGTTCTGGAAAGATTTTTTTGTTTTCTGGATAATTCTGTAACACAGAGCTGACAAAGTTCTTCATGTAAGGAAAGCTGTTGATGGTTAAACAAAACAAAGTGCTGCACAGCTCTAGATATAGACCCCCCAAAAAACAAAAGCCACATTGGATAGCCTGTCCAACCTAATTTCACTAAACCAAATGGTTTCTTTAGGGGAGGGCTGATGAGAACACAGTTTGACATTCCTGTTTTGCAAATGTGGGTCACAGTATGTTCCCTTTGTGGCATATTCTAATGTGTTTCCTCTGTGCAGAGGGACACGCTTCTCTCTTCCCCCTTGCAATAGGCATCTGCTGAAATTCTCCTTGCAACATCAGATTCCAATAATTCCTGCTCAGCTGCGTCCACCATGGCCCTTTGCCTTGTGCAGAAAACAGAAATGATTTCTGAGGGTAGTAGGAAGTTACGAGTTGTGATTAAGTGACCGTTACGATCTACGCGACTCATAAATCCAAGTGCATATTCATTTTTTCCTTTTGCTGCTGTGCATGGTAAATATGCAGATTTTAATTTGTTGTGCAGCTGATTATCACATCCTGTCCTTTCTCAAGGGCACATCTGCTTAAGGAAATTCTCTGTGATCCTGGAGGTGTCTGAGGTTAGGACCAACCTGCTGTTCTCCCCTTCCTACCCAGTGCAGGGACCCATCCAGCTCTACTGGCTGCAGTGGTGACAGAGAACCACCAGGAAAAGCCATTCTGTCCTAGAACAGCTCCTCTGGGGTCAATGGTTGACATGTGGCACCTTGGCTTTGATTTGGCAAGGGCCTTTTGAAGGAGGGAGGGATGGATGGATGGGTGGATGGATGGATGGATGGATGGATGGATGGATGGATGGATGGATGGATGGAATCATTCATGGATGGATGATGGATGGATGATGGATGGATGGATGGATGGATGGAATCATGAATGGATGGATGGAGGATGGATGGATGGATGGATGGATGGATGGGTGGATGTCAGTCCTGACCCCATTCTGTGGAGAACAGGGGAAGCACTGAGCTGCTGTGGCCCAGCAGTGGGAAGGCAGATCTGTAACGCTGTGGGTTTGTCTCTGTGTAACACCTGAAGGCCTGATACGGCTGCAGGAGCTCATCATGGCCCCGTCCCGCTACAACATCCGCCTGAAGATCCGCCAGCTCCCACTGGACACCGACGACGCCCGGCCACTGCTGAAGGAGATGAAGCGGGGCCGGGAATTCCGCATCATCTTCGACTGCAGCCACCTGATGGCAGCTCAGATCCTCAAGCAGGTGAGCAGGGGCCCAGGAGGACAGCAAAGTCTGCTCATGGGAGCCATGGGTGAGGGGTGGCTCATGGAGCTCATGGGTGAGGGGTGGCTGTGATGAAGAGTGGCCCCATCCTGGGTGCAGCTTTCCCTTGGCAATCCACAGCCGCACCGAAAGCTACAGCATGTCCATCCTCCAAGGACACTGCTGGATTTCTACAGAAAATGGTGTTTTTACCTAAAAACTGGAAGTACCGAAAAGTGGCTGTGGGTGAGAACAAACAAACGTTAGAGGAGGAGAAGGGGCTGTGCTGAATGCAGCGCCCAACCCAGGCTGGTGCTGGACAATTCTGTGGCTCTCCCTGCAGCTGCACAGCCCCAGCCTTCTTCCCTCTTTCCCCTTCTCCCTTCATTCAAGCTGGCTCTCCCAGCCAGGAGGGACTGCATCCTCTGTCCTTTCCCCAGCAGCGTCTGCAATTCTTGGACTTTAAGCCAGATGTCAGTGATTTTCCATTCATTTGGGCTCCCTCCTTTCTTCCTCCACAAGTTCCTCCACTGGAATTCTTGCTGCTCGCCCCAGCTCCTCCTCATTCCCGAGTGCCTTTGGGTTTCAGGGTCAATGTGAGGCAGAGGAAAAGGCTCTCACAGAGATGCTAAAAACCAGCTGGTGGAAGTGTTGCTCCTATCAGCCCAGCAAAACACCACCACACAGACTAAATAAATCCCTGCAGGGATGAGAAAGCAAGCACAAGGCAAGAGCCTTCTCCTGCAGACTGCATGATACAAAATGAACTTTCCAAGTTCAGAGAACTTGGAAAGCCTGGGAGGGATTATTATGGGAAGCAATAGAAGGGGTTCATTGTCTCCTGCCAGTTATTTTCCTGTGCTGGTTGTGTTTGGTGCTGCTCACTTATTATAGAGTTTATTATAGTTTATTGTGCCATCTGCTCAGCTCATCACCGCTGGTACAGAGTGAGGAAGATGGAGGAGAGGGGGGACTAGGAGAGACAAGTCTCTCTAAGTCCTTCTGGCTGGGTTTGTGTGTGTGTGTCGGGGTTTTGTCAGGACCTGAAGCCATGGATTTCAGCTTAGCAATAAAAGCCTGTGTATTTTTACTCAAGGAAATACTGGTGTATTTTTCAGAGTCTGGGAAGTTGCACAAACCCAAACCACAGCCTGACTGCTCTCTGCATGCCTGGCCACTCTGGTGTGTAACATCAGGCAGGTTCAGAGCAGTGCACCACGACCTGCAGGTCACCTGCATCTGCTGAAGACTAGGAGGTGTAGAAACCTCATATTTTCCTCACTTTTCTACCTGTAGCAAGAAATGCATGCCTAGAAGTGCCACTTTTATTTGTGAAACAGCTCTTTTCCACTGAAAGTACGAGCTAGGCAAAGCCATCTCCTGGAGGAAGGGAGTCTGCTTCCCTTCACAGCAGCACAAGAACAATGCACAGAACAAATAATGGACTGAAAAAAAAACCCCAAAACAACCCAAGGAGGAAGGCCCAGGATTCTGTTAATGCCAGAATCTGTAATATTCATGTTTTATTGCTATTATGTGTCTTTTGTAACATTTTGGTCACTACACCAGTCAGCTCTGCAGACATTTTCATGTTTTATTGCTATTATGTGTCTTTTGTAACATCTTGGTCACTACACCAGTCAGCTCTGGTGGCTGGATGGAGTCCCTGGAGTCTTCTGGCCTTGCTGCCACCCCTGTGGATGGCAACAAGGTTTTCACAAGAACCTTGCTAAAATTTCCACTCCGTCTTCTGGCCTTGCTGCCACCCCCATGGATGGCAACAAGGCTCTCACAAGAATCTTGCTAAAATTTCCACTCCTTGACACTGATTTTCATTGCACGTTTTCAGAAAACACAGAAGGTTTGAGCACCTGCAGCCTCTGCTGGCTGAGCAGCTCTGACTGAGCAGTGCACACACCATCGTGCCAGTCAGGATCTTGCTCCCCAGAGATTCATGATTCCATGCTCCCACAGCACAGCACTGATCATCTGGGCAGGTTTTTTAAACTGGAGTAGTAAAAACCAAGGATTAGTAATCCATGAGTAACACCACATGAGGCAGCACAACTGTACAGAGATTGCCACCTACTTCTCCAGCCTGGGTCTCTTGGTGAGCAGACCATTATTTTGCCCCCATCTTGGAAAACAAATAATTGTAGAAACCTATCACAGAGTGAGTCCTGCTTTTGAGGCTTTCCTGTTATACCCCAGATTCTCCATCCTTCCTCAGTTTTGGTCCCGTTGTCACTCCAGGTCTGTTCCCAGGCTGTCCCGAGCAGCCTCTGAGCTCTGCAGGGCACAGCTGTGCCTGTCAGCTCTGACAGAGCTCCTGCTCTCATCCCAGCCACCGCCTCTGGCTTATCCACCAGGATGATCATTTATTCATTTCCCCATAAACCCAGATGCATCCTGCCCCAGGCTGCCAATGCTGGGAAGCTGGAGCTTCCTTCTGACAGCGGGTCCGGGCTCCTCAGCTGTGGCCAGAGTGATCCAGCTGTAGAACATGAACTGGGATCTCATTATTTGCTCCAGACTGGCTCCCCATCACTAGCTGGTGCTTCCCACACTGAGGTGCCATTCCCTGCTTCAGCTCTTTGAACCAGGTTGTGCAGGAGGGAGAGAGCCAGACTGCAGGCCCCTGGATGCACTGACCAGGCAGGGACTGGGGGACAGGACTGTGAATGGCTACAGGAACTGCCCCTAGACTTTCTAAAAGCTACTTCCAGAGCAGGAGACCTGGGGTGAAATCACACTCTGGAGTCACAATATCTAGGCTTGCAATCCAGATCCTTTCCTTTTCCCTTGTTTTTTGACATCTCACTTCTTTTCAGACTGTCACTTCCTTCCTCGGAGGTAAATTCCGCCCTAGTAATTTTAGCAAAAAACCAAGGGAAGCAAACATTTCCTGGGGGGACTTGAAGTCACTTCCCCATCAGTAGGGATTTTAAAGTGCTCTTGCATGTGTTTTCTCCAGAAAACATGCTCACACAGTCAGCATCCCAGCCAAACAGGACAGGGATCTTCCTGTCACCAGCCACCGGTTTCAAGGTCACCTTTCTCATAGACTGAAATGTGCTCCCCTCCTGTTGTGAAGGGCATGGTCATCCAGCCACGGCCCCTTCAGCCCATGGTTGTCCTCTGAAAGAGCTTCCAGGACAGTCTGTTCTCTCCAGTGCTCAGTTATGCAAATCCCAGCAATCTGCAGGAGCCATCCTGCGTGTAGGGGCTGGCAGGGAATCTCAAGCTGTGCTGGCCAAGGGCCCCCAGGACCCTGATCCCCAAAAGCTGAGGAACAGGGGATATTCCCACTCCCCATCCTTGTGCCTGCACCTTCACTGACCCATATTACATTTGTGGGGTGCCCCGATGAAGGCAGGAATGATGAATCTGACTCTGTTCTCAGAAGGCTAATTTATTATTTTATGATACTATATTATATTAAAGAATACTAAACTAAAGAATACTAAACTAAACTATACTAAAGAACATAGAAAAGATACTTACAGAAGGCTAAAAAGATAATAATGAAAAGCTCGTGACTATTTCCAGAGTCTTGACACAGCTTGGCCCTGATTGGCCAAAAAGTCAAAACACTTCACATGAAACCAATGAAACAATCACCTGTGGGTAAACAATCTCCAAACACATTCCAAAGCAGCTAAACACAAGAGAAGCAAATCAGATAATTATTGTTTTCCTTTTTCTCTGAGGCTTCTCAGCTTCCCAGGAGAAAAATCCTGGGTGAAGGGATTTTTCAGAAAATACGAACGTGACAGAATTTTAACCAGACCCGAATTCAGGATCTGGCTGTTGTGCTCAGGAAGGAGGGACGGAGGCAGGAGCTCCATGTACTCACTGCACAGATGGGACTGAAGGTGGGGATGCAGAGCCCCAGAGGTACCAATTTTATTTGTGAAACAGCTCTTTTCCACTGAAAGTACAAGCTAGGCAAAGCCATCTCCTGGAAGAGGGGAGTCTGCTTCCCTTCACAGCTGCAGAAGAACAATGCACAGAACAAATAATGGACTGAAAAAAAACCCCAAAACAACCCAAGGAGGAAGGCCTAGGGTTCTGTTAATGCCAGAATCAGTAATATTCATATTTTTTTGCTATTATGTGTCTTTTATAACATTTTGGTCACTACACCAAATGTCTGCAGACATTTGGCTGGACGGAGTCCCTGGAGTCTTCTGGCCTTGCTGCCACCCCCATGGATGGCAACAAGGTTTTCACAAGAAAACCTTGCTAAAATTTCCACTCATTGTCACTGATTTTCATTGCACATCTTCAGAAAACACAGAAGGCTTGAGCACTTACAGAATTACTCACCTCAGAAATCAAAACCCTTTCAGCTGCCTTCTTAGCAACTACATGACGTGACTGCAAGAACAGGCTGTTTGTGGTCAGTCTCACAGGTTTCTGTGGGGTTCTGCTCATGGTTTGGTATTGGAGAAGGAAAGGTGCCCCTCTCTCCCACAGCTGTGCCAACAGAGCCTGTGGCCCTGGAGGGCCCTGCAGCCATGAGCGCAGTGCCACAGAGCCCTGGCACAGCCAGAGACACCCAGTGTCACCCAGAAATGCCACCAGCCCTCATGGGAGCTGGACACTGCGGCTTTGCCACGCTTTCAGAATGGTTTGAGGACCACAGCTCTGCTCAGCTCAGCACTTGAGCACGTGCCTCTTGCTGATGGGCCTGGTTTAACTGCTCCATGGCCTAAATTCTGAATCCAAACCTGGTGTTTCCAGTTTCTTAACTGCTCCACAGCCTCAATCCTGAACCCAAACCTGGTGTTTCCAGTTTCTTAGCTGCTCCACGGCCTCAATCCTGAATCCAAACCTGGTGTTTCCAGTTTCTTAGCTGCTCCATGGCCTCAATCCTGAATCCAAACCTGGTGTTTCCAGTTTCTTAAGTGCTCTATGGCCTCAATCCTGAATCCAAACCTGGTGTTTCCAGTTTCTTAGCTGCTCCACGGCCTCAATCCTGAATCCAAACCTGGTGTTTCCAGTTTCTTAACTGCTCCATGGCCTCAGTCCTGAATCCAAACCTGGTGTTTCCAGTTTCTTAAGTGCTCTACGGCCTCAATCCTGAATCCAAACCTGGTGTTTCCAGTTTCTTAGCTGCTCCACGGCCTCAATCCTGAATCCAAACCTGGTGTTTCCAGTTTCTTAACTGCTCCATGGCCTCAGTCCTGAATCCAAACCTGGTGTTTCCAGTTTCTTAAGTGCTCTATGGCCTCAATCTTGAATCCAAACCTGGTGTTTCCAGTTTCTTAACTGCTCCACGGCCTCAATCCTGAATCCAAACCTGGTATTTCCAGTTTCTTAACTGCTCCATGGCCTCAGTCCTGAATCCAAACCCAGCATTTCTGGGCCTCTCCTGCCACATTTACCTGTGACCTCTGAGTTTTATGTTGCATGGCTGTCTTGTCTCCCTTGACTAACCCCTTTTCCCTCCTCTCCTTAAGGCTATGGCAATGGGGATGATGACAGAATATTACCACTTCATCTTCACCACTCTGGTAAAGTATCTGGCTGTGCACACACATTGTGCACACTGATGGGGGTGGGATGGGAGAAAACACAGAAAACAACCTGTACACACTGATGGGGATGGGATGTGAGAAAACACAGAAAACAACCTGTACACACTCATGGGTGTGGGATGTGAGGGGCAGCTGGACGGGGAGGGAGGGATGGGTGGCTGATCCTGGTGTGCCCTGCACTGCCATGGGATGGGAAATGCAACGAAAGAGGAGACCTGGGCCCCTGCCTGGAGGAAAGGACAGGGCTGGGCTTGGCTGCAGGTCAGGGTCAGACCCCAGTGACCTGGCTCTACCTCCTCTGCTCTGCAGCACTGCCTGAGAGCTGTCAGTCCCTCCTTCCCCTGCCCTGGGACAGTCCCTCCTTTGCAGCGCACGGATGTGGGTTCTGGTTTTATTTTCCCTCCCAGTCACTTTGATTCCAGTGTAGCTCCCCACACAGTGACAGTGAGCACAGGGAGAGCGCAAGGCTGCAGCCCCCACACTGGATTTGGTGGGACCCTGATTCAGCAGGAGCTGGGGATGAGCACCCAGGACCCCTCTGGAGCCAGGAGCAGCCCTGCTGAGGTCCAAGTTCCAGCCCTGCAGGTTTATTTTGCAGGAGGGGAGCTGAGCCTGACATTAACTCCACTCTGTTAAACACAGGCCAGTCCTCTCTGACTCCAGATGCTTTCCTGGCAGGGTCACTTTTGTCTCCATTTAAGATTCTATTGTCTAGTCTACTGTTGAATTTTGCGTGATTTTGAAAATCTAATTTATCTTTTTGCCTTTAGGAAAGAAACAGACTAAACTAACCCTTAAAAACTACAAAATTTATTTTTCAAATGCAAAAGACATTTTAATTACCCCTGCTGCCATTATCTATTCCAGGCAGCTTTAAGCATTTCCCAGATAACCTCCTATTAATCAGCCCCAGCTGAGCCTGGAGTACATTTCATGTGTAGGTACAGCCTGGAGGTGGGAAAAGAGGAATTATAATAAATTAATAGATAAGCAATCACAATTAATGCCACTTTCCTGAAATAACAGTTATATCATGGGAAAGATATTTTAATCTGTCATTCCTTAAGGCAATGTTTTCCTAGCTTGCAATGCCTGTGCTTCAGCTTCCCCAGTACGAGACCCATGGGGTGCTAATGAATTAGTCTATTATGTTATACTGAATGTTTCTAAAAGGTCCCCAGTCAATACCGAGCACAGTGTATCAACACTTGGCATGAAATGCTTCAACATTTTGCTAGGCAGCATGACTACAGTTCACTGACTCCAGCATGAGGAGCCCCATCAGCCTTTTCCACCACAGGAGGAGGAGCAGGAGGGTCTCTGATGAGCGCCGGTCTCTGTCACGTGCAGATTTTACATCCAAAGCCCAGCAGGGAACACCCCAGATCTCCACCCTCGTGGGGGTGTCTCAGCTGTCTGTAAAATGGGGCTTTGCAGCCACAGCCAAGCCCTGCCAGATCCCAGGGCAGAGCTGTGGGGGCACTCACCCACGGGCAGCAGAAGACAGGGATGCCTTTCCTGGGCCACCTTTGCAGCATCCCACTGAGGATGTGGGATCACCGAGGATCAGTCCCCAGCATTGCTGCCACCACCAAGGAGCCCAAGCTTGCCCTGGTCTGGGGGAGAGCATCACAGGAACACCGAGAGCAAAATTAAGGGTGGAGGGGAGAATTAATCTGCAGTACAGAAAATAATGAGTGAAAGGGAATGCAGATGAGGTGGAAAATAGAACCAGATGTTTCAATTTGTGGCTGTGCAGGAGCAGAAAATCCAGAAGAAACTGATCTGATGATTCCCATCCACACCTCCCCATGTCCTGACACTCAGCTGGTATTCTGAATTATCCTCTGATTCCAGGAGGTGATAAATCAGCCTGCAGCTGAGATTTAAACTAGAACCAGGGAGGGATCTGATGGGAGGTTGGTTTATATAGGAACTTGGTGAAAGGAAGGGTTGGTGGGGAGCATCAGGGCAGGGACAGCACCCAAAATACCAGTGGGATCTGAGAGGTGGCCAGGGCTGGTGGTTTGACACATGGGCAGCAGAGGCCATGGGGTCTGGAGCTCAGGGATCTGATTTGTCACACCCAGTCACATTCTGAGGGGGAAATCATCAGCTTTTGCAACGAAAAATTATTTCCTCGCAACAATTTCTGGAATGCAAGCTGAAGTGTCTGATTAAAAATGAATCTTGGAAAAACAGACCCATTCCAGCAGGTCAGGCACAGAACTGCTGTCCCCCCTCCCAGCCAGAGACATGAGCACCTGTCTGAGGTCAAACCACTGTATTTGCCCTTAGCTCCCTTAAGGCATTTTAAAGTCAACATTATAGCCTGGTTTTTCAGTGCCCCTTAACAGAACGTGCAGGTTTGCACTTGAAATTTTTCAGGGTTAAAAAACAGCCCAAAAACCCAAGTCCCAACCGCCACTGTAGGGTGATTAATGATTTGGTCCCTGCTGCACCTGCAGGTTTGAGCACTGCATCCATCAGCAGTGAGCCCTGGGGCTGCAGAGGCCAGGGCCAGGCTTACAGAAAAGATCAAACCTCCAAAGAAGCTTATTAAAGCAAAACAGCCACAAGAACCCTCACTCCCCCGTGGAGAATGGTGTCTCAGTTGCTGGCAAGTGCTGCTGCTGCTCTGCTTTGCTTAGGGCAGCACATGTGGGGCTTTGGCAGCCCCCTGTGGGCTGGTGGGTGCTGCAGGTGGGTGGCCCCACAGTGTGGCTGTGTCCCACCAGCACAGAGCACAGAACAGCCTGAGCCACAGCACAGAACAGTTCCAGCACAAACCCAGAACAGCCCCAGCACACAGCACAGAGCACAGAACAGCCCCAGCACAAACCCAGCACAGAGCACAGAACAGCCCCAGCACAAACCCAGCACAGAGCATAGAACAGCCCCAGCACAAACCCAGCACAGAGCACAGAACATCCCCAGCACAGAGCACAGAACAGCCCCAGCACAGAGCACAGAACAGCCCCAGCACAAACCCAGCACAGAGCACAGCACAGCCCCAGCACAAACCCAGCACAGAGCACAGAACATCCCCAGCACAGAGCACAGAACAGCCCCAGCACACAGCACAGAACAGCCCCAGCACAGCGCACAGAACAGCCCCAGCACAAACCCAGTACAGAGCACAGAACAGCCCCAGCACAAACCCAGCACAGAGCACAGCACAGCCCCAGCACAAACCCAGCACAGAGCACAGAACAGGCCCAGCACACAGCACAGAAC